AAATAATTTAGTTTCTTTTCTCCAAAGATATGCTTACTGTTAAAAGTATTGGAGTTAGATTTTTTTTTTTTTTTTAACTTGTTAAAGATTTAAAAACTAGGATGCATTTCCATTTCCACGTTTACCATGACTTGCTTTGTTGGGCAGGAAGAGAATTCTGAAACTAAGATACCTCTTAGAAGTATTCTTTTGAGTCACTGGAACTCAGAATCAGGCTGAAGAAGTGCCAGCGTTCCTCTTTGATCCCAGCAGAGCTGATGAATCAGAACATTCAGCACCAAGGGGACTCAGAAAACTCACAGGATAATATTGCTTCCAATGATTTTGCTTTATTCATTATGTTTGGCACTTCTGAGATGGAGGTGTTTACCAACTAGCAACATATGTCAATAGGGTAAGGAAATGAGATTACCAAAATGCAGTAGACAGGGGAGAAATAATAAAGTAGACGTGGATTGCATTTTAAATAAGTCAAAGCTGTTACTGCTGTTGCAGATGTGTATATGTTGTGGCATTTACCATAGTAATAACTAACAATAATTTTTCAGTAGCTACATAGGTAAATGAATATGTATGTTAAATAGGTGAAGGAGTTTGTACCAAAGTGCACCTGCATACAAATAAAGATATAGTGGTTGGCGTGACTACATACATATTTGAAAATACTGCATGTATACTCCTATGTAGGAGCTCTGGTAGAATAGTGCCTATGCCACTTGCCTGCTAACCAGAAGCCTGGTAGTTCAAATCCACCAGCCACTCCTCAGAAGAAGATTGGGCAATATACTTCCATAGTGATACTGCCTAGGAAACCCAAGGAGGGGTCGTTATGAGTCGGGTCTGACTTGATGGCACACAACAACAACAACAACAATACTCCTATATATAGTACAGTACATAGTGGGAATAGTTATAAAAACTATGACATCGGGACTGAACAACCAGACTGGAAGGCTAAGGACCACTATCTCAGGGGACATTTAGGTCAACTAACAAAACACAGTTCATAAGATAATGTTCTACATCCTAGTCTGGTGAGTAGTGTCTGGGTTTTATAAGCTTCCTACTGGTCATCTGAAAAGCAACTATTGGTCTTTTCCCACCTAGAGCAAAGGAGAACAAAGAAAAATGTTTCTATTTCTTCTCAGTTAAAAAACTTGAATCTCTCAAGGTAACTCTTTAAAACTCTATGGAACAAAACCTAGAATTTTCTTTGACAAGTCTGATTTTTCTTTTCTTTTTTTTAACATTCTTTCTTATTTTATTTAAAAATTTTATGTTATTGTTGTTGTTGTTAGGTGCCTTTGAGTCAGCTCTGACTCATAGCAACCCTATATACAATAGAACAAAACACTGCCTGGTCCTGTGCTGTGCTTGAGCCCACCCTTGCAGCCACTGTGTCTATCCACCTCCTTGAGGGCCCTCCTCTTTTTCATTGACCCTTTACTTTGCCAAGCATGTTATCCTTCTCCAGGGACTAGTCCCTTCTGAGAACATGACCAAAGAAGATGGGATGAAGTCTGGCCATTCTCGCTTCTAAGGAGCATTCCAGCTCCACTTCTTCCAGGACAGATTTGTTTTTCTTCTGGCAGTCCATAGTATT